TCGAAAATTTTGAATTTGGCAATTTCAGTGAATACTTCTTCGATTTTCATGTTCTCCTAATACTTTTTGGTTAAGGATTAATTGGGTTTGGTTAATAGTCGCATGAGGGCAAAAAATTTAAATGACTCCATAAAATTTTAAAATTTCAGTAAATACCAATAAAGGGTTAATTGGATTTGGTTAATGGTCACATGAGGGCAAAAAATTTAAGTGACTCCATAAAATTTTAAAATTTCAGTAAATACCGATTTCGTAACGCCGAAAATGATATTCACCCGGTCGACTGGTCCCTCTGACAGCGGAACTGCTACTGAGGCAGTTACCGAGTCGGCTGAGGCTCCCCCGCCCGGCGCCGGACCCCCACCCTTAGCCCCCCACCCTTAACCCCCCACCCTTAGCCACCCCCCCATTGTGTGTAGCCCCCTCTCTCTCTTGGGGTGGGGTACTACGACGCTGGTGGGGTCACTCAAACCCCCAGACCTGAGCCTCTATATACTTTAGTCAATCCTCTTTGACTATAACGACAGGTAGTCGCCGCATGATTTACATACCAAGGAACGTAAACATTTACCATATCTGGGATCATTCTTTAGGACATAACTGTGCTTTTAAAAGCTATTTACCCCCTCTGAACAGACACTCCACCCTACCCCGTAAGTGCCAATTATCGGGGCCCAGTGAAGAAAAAAGTATTGCTCCATTATTACGCCCTAAAGGATATCAAACTACACACAATGCAAATTACAAAATCACTACTATTGTGTCTCTTAATTAACGTTTCTTCCTCAACAAATACCAACGATTCCTCGAATGCAGAACCAAGCCTAACCCAAAAACAAATCGACAGTTTCATAAGTGGACTCATTACCTGCCTCGACAAAATTCCTGTGACTGAAACGGTTGCCATCGTAGAAGACTATCTGAGCAGTGAAGAAGACATCGAAGACTTTGGTAAATCTACCCTAAACAGTCCGAATGTTTTCACCCTCCTGAGATTCTCCAAAATCTGCCACGATAAGTTGATAAAGCACGTGATCGAAATATCAAAAATTTTCGAAACCAAAGATGCTATGCAAAATTATAAAAAGGGCCAGAACATTCTCAATAAATTATTTAAAACGCTTGATTCATTACAGATGAACCCTAGAGATATAATCAATCTTTTTGTGGATATGGATGTAAACGCTATGCACCAGACTATTATAAAAACAACTAAAAAACAGTTGATGGACGATTCAGACATGAAAAATCTGTTGAAAAGTGTCATCGAACGTCGATCGATTATATTGGGCTCCTATCATCGGTTTGTGAAAAGAATCAATGAAAACTGGAGCATTCGCCACAGCATATTACCTAAAATACAGAAGAGCCGTTTGTATACTATCCTACATATTTTATGGCTGGAGTTTACGGAAATAATTTCAAAAACCGACATAACCGAACGAGATTCTGCAACCGAGACGAAAGAAATAGTATTACAAGCTACCAAGTGGATGGGAATGCTGGCCCTTTCTATAGAGAGTGACGTCGAAATATCGAATTTCATAAAGTACGTCAAATCTCAGGAACTTCGGGCTAGAGTAATTAAAGCCTACAATGATCTAGAAATCGGACAAGATTTTAGGAAGGACGAACTGTGATTGCCAGTTAATTTGGACTAAATTTTCTTATGTGATATGAGAGGTTCCAATAGGAGATATTTTTTCCTGAGTGAAAGAGTTGCCGACAGATTTGGATTCAGCTGTGAATATATTGTGTCATAATTGATGAATAATTTTATGAAGATATTTACAGAGCAATTGCTGTACTGAGTACTGAGTTTAATATTTATACATTGAAGGTCTGCCATCGACAATAAAATAAAAACTATAGATTTCTCAATTATTAGAATTATTATTATCTTTGGTAAATGTCTAGTTTGTTCTGCAAAATTTCAACAATTTTGATTTTATTCAAATCCTATGTGGAAGTGTGAGGGGGAGGGGAAGCCATTAATTTTATCAGAAAACTGATGCTTCATTAAATTGCGCGAAAATATAATAAGTAGAGGAAAAGGGGCGGTAAAAGCACTTGTTACCACTTAAATGACTAGCTCGTAACGTCAAAAACCTTCACCTAAATTTGTTCAACCCGTTTAGACTCTACAGATGAAAATTCCACACCTCCCCCGTCTCACGATTTTTTTTTCCTTTTTTTTCCAATTTTTTTTTCCTTTTTCCCAATTTTTTTTCTCAAAGAGCATCAAAACGCATGCAGTTCTTTCGATTTCCATCATCAATCCTTTCCAGATTATTCATTACATTTTTTATATAATCATTACCAAACAAAAAAAGTATAAAATGAAAGACGATGAGTCCACACACGAAATAGCAACTCTTTTTTTTCTCTTGATTTATTTCATTTAAAGAACTCTCAAAAGTCCATGAATTGACAACTGAAAAGTATTTGATGATTGAAAAATTTCGTAATATTTTATTATTTTTAATTTTACTCATTAACTCACCCTCAATGACGGAATTAGACACTCCATTATTTTATTCGAATATCATAATTTTCCCTCACATTGCAGGAGGCACAGACTAATCAGGATTAATAATAAATCTCTCAGGACATGGAGGCGTGTTGTCCGTCCGATGTCAGGATTAACTCGAAGACAATACAGGAATATATTAGGAAAAGGGCAGAGGGATAACTGAAGAGGCATAACTCGCCCCTTCACGCCCTTCTTCAGGTATATCTCAGCGGATGGTACCTGCCATAAACTCTGATAACAATGGAGAAACTTCACAATCCAAGACACTATAATATATTATATACAACTTATTATAAAAATATATACATCTTTATTTTATGGTAAACTCCGGTCATCACATAAAATTTAACTCGAATTCATAAATTCCAAAACTTATCTTAGACTGAATACGAATTCATAATAATTCTACAATTATCACGATTGTTACGAAAAAAGCCAATGACGTTGATCTTTTCGAAAAACTGCAACTCAAACTATTTCCATCAGTGTTTCGTGAATAATTTCCAACGAAACTGGTTTTATTTTCTCAATATATTCAGGAGTATAGTTTAAGAACGTTGCAGTGAACCCCAAAGCGAGTTTCAGTGGAATATTGTTGTGTCTTTTAGCTACCGCGTCTATGGCAGCCTCGAGAGTTCTGTCTCCAATTGAAGTCAGCGATACATCAAGAACTTGAAGCTCACGTGCATTCTGAAGAAGGAAAATAATCCCTTCGTCTCTCACGTCTTCGCAACCGACGCACTGCAGAATCTTCAGACTGTGGAACTTCGCGAGACAATCATCCGACACTTCTGGCACGTAATTAATTATCAATCTTTCGAGATTTGTGTAAGAAGCGAGAGCATTCAGTCCTCTATCTGTTACGAACGATGATCCTGTGAATATAATAGTTGACAGAAAAAATTTATCCCAAATGAAACAAGTATTCAAGAACTTCACAATATTTTAACATTTCAGAATGTATTCATTCGTGATTTATCAAAACTATTACCACTGATGTCCAAAGACCGGAGATGTCTGCAGTTCTTCGCTATCTCGATGAATAGATCATCAAAGATGTTGACGTCTCGCCACATGAATTTGCAGGCCACAGCTGGAATTCCTACCGTGCTGATATTCCTCAAAGATTCCTTGTTCATCGTGGTAATCTCCAAGACCTCAAGATTACTCAGATTTTTAATCAGCTGGAGTGAGCTTGAAAGGTTGTTGACAAGGTGGAACCCATGGATCTTTAGGTACTTCAAGGAATTTATGTAGGTAATTTTCTCGAAGGAATCTTCATTCACATTACTGCACGTATTGAGTTCCAGTGACCGCAGGTTGGGAAGCGTTTGGATTGCCTGAAATGAAAAGTAATTTTTCTTCATTACGTTTTGTACGTAAAAATTCATGTACATTTTGTACAAAATGCATTCGCTATGTTGTTCTATGGAATTGTTTTTTAGAATTATTTTGTTAAGTAACTATATAACAACTGACCGAATTGAAAATGGATTCACTGATTCGAATATGACTCAATCGTATCACTTCGATGGTCTTCGATAATTTCAGAATGCAACTGCCGATACTGCAGTGTGTGGGATTCCCGTGGATTTCTACATATCTCAAATTGTTCAGCTGTGCGAATATGTTGGATAGAAAAGCCTCGTCTTGGGCATTATTTATCGCAAATTGTGTAATTTTGCAAGCTACTAGGGATTTATGAATGTGGAGGGACGGCCATGAGCAACTCTTAAGCACAACTGTCTCCAAATTTGGACACAACTCTCCAGCTTTTTCGATGATTACGTAACTGAGTCCTGAATTGTCTGAACTATTGATCGTATGCAATCCTTCTCCACAATTTTTGAGAATTCTTATAAGAGATGGAGCTGTCAGGCGCTCTCTCAATGTTCTTGGGGGAATCCCCCAGTTTAATGGTGATTTCCTCGTTATGTCCAGGACCCGCGTGGATTTCCAAAAGTTCTGGAGAACATTTTGCCATTGTTTGCAGACTAAAAAAGAAGATTTAATCGACATTTATCATTTCTTTATCATTTTCGGTTTTTTGATTCTGTGACGAATATTTTTTATTTATTAATAATAATTTAAGGAGCATTGATTTATTATTTACCTCGTTCCAGACGGGTCCTGTCGGCAATGGTGGGTAAATAAGAAAAAATTTTCTCCAGGCAGTCATCGTTCAGGATCTCCATGGAAAAGTTTACATCAACCTGCGTTATCATCTCTGAAAATTATAAATGCAACTGTAAATGATGTTCCATTTAAAATAGTACAGTTGAATAACTCTTGAAAGACGGAAGTAATCAGAAAAATTTTCAGATGCCAGTTGTAAGTTTCGAACGTCCTTTCCAGCATAAATGTTTACACTTTGATGCTGCGAGTTATGTTACATTTTTTTATTGCAATCAATCATTTCAGCCTAACAATTGCAATTATATTCTCACTTGTAAATGATTTCTAAGTCATTCTTTTAGAATTCCGACACATCATCAATTGACAAATGTCAAACTGTTGTATAAATAATTGCAAACATTTAGCGGAAAATATTAAAAGTGAATTGAGGGCTTTCCACCCATATATAGCCAAATTTCACGTTTTTTCATTGTTCTGACAAACTTACTATAGGATTAACGTAAAAAATATAACATTTTCGCGTTTTGGTATTACTGAATGATTCGGGAAGCTTTAAAGTGGCGCGAATATTTTTACTAATTTTTTTTAACATTTTTTTTTTAATTTTTAAGGAGCTGTTGCTGTCTCTTGATTATTTTTCATATTTTTTGGCGATTCCTCGCAAACTGTTGATTAGATTGACGGGGAAAATGTAGCGTTTTTGTCCAACGCTTTGTGAATGTTCAAAAAAGTTTAGAAAAAACGCACAACAATTATTGCACAGCGATGAAATTCCATCGATAATTTATAAAAAAAAAATTAAAAACGTGAATTTCGGCATTGTAAAATCTGAGAAAGAATTCCACATTTGAATTTTGAATTCCTCTGTACCAAGACACCGCACATCACAACAAGTTCCTCGAATCAAATTTCTTGGATGAATAAAAAAAATGTTATGAATAATTAATGAGTAATTTACCGTGGATTATTTTTAGTGTGCAGCACTCCTCTGGATCCACTTGAGTTCAAAATGCAACTGCTACAAGACTTATTACAGATTTTACTACGAGCCCTCAAAGAATTTGTCTGTTGGTGGGGGAAATTTTTGACCAGTTCATATTTTGGGTGTACAGAGGTAGAAATTGACGATCAGCGGAGGATAAGTGAGGGTGGACAGGACCTATCTGCAGGTAGATTCTCTGCGAGAGAGGATGGATTATACGGAGGGATTTATGACCGGCAGTTGAAAGTAAAAATCATATTTTAGTTCAAAATATTCAGAACTCAAGAAATTATATAAGTAAATTCTGTGTTAATACAAGATTTATTTACAGAAATTCGAAAAAAATTTATCAATCATCTGGTGAAATTTGAGCGAAACATGGAAATATCTATTCTAACAACTGAATTTATCATTTTTGGTATTGATCATCTTATTTCAATCCTTGGAAAGTTTCCTATGTTCTCCGTATATAATCTATGATGATAAATTCAACATGAATCTTTAGAAATCTGAAAACGTTTCGTGACGTCTCAGGGTTTTAAAGTATATATTTACCAAGAATTAAATAATAATTATGATCTAACTTTTGACGTGATGAACAAACAGAGCTAGTCACTGCTGTTGAATCGTACCCAATCTAACAGATTATCGATCGCCGAGAATATTAACTCAGTAAAATGATGCCGAACTTGAAATACCTGAAGAAAGAACACAGAAATAATAAAAAAAAGATGTTGACTAGAAAATCTTCGAGTATCAACCGAATCATTCGGTCGTGATCTATAATTCCGGTTGGAACAGTTTCTTCTGCGAGAGGATCTCATGTGCGCCTGAAATTTTCTCTTCAACGTTTCTCTAAGCACTCGCTCCTTATCAATAACATTCAAAAAACGCGACGACAATTCTCCATAATGCAATTGGAATCGCCTGCAGATCATAAAATCAACGGCTACATTCAGAGGTCTACCATTTTCTCTTGCTCCAATCTCTCGTGCAGCTGCAAGTGATGCAATTGTGATTGAAGTCTTCGATAGATCTAGAACTTCGAGACGTCGGGAATTCCTCAACAGCGAAATCACATTTACGTCGACGATTCCTTCACAGCCAACGCATTCCAACACTTTTAGATTTGTAAAATGCACGAAACATGTGCCCGTCACATTGAGAATTCCGTTTATTATCAGTGTCTCGAGATTAGCACAAGCTGCGAGTACATTCATTCCCCTGTCTGTCACCTCTTTTGATCCTGCAGAGACATAATAAATCATCATTATCAAAATTAATAATGAACCAGAACTATCCGCACACCCCACGTAATCTATAAAATCTATAAATATTTAAACAAATAATGATCTTCTGTCAGAAAACTCAATGAAACCTTCACCATAGTTTCTATTTTGTTCATCAATTCGTAGATATTATTAGAATTTATTTAGTAGCAAAGTATTATATTTATGATATATATATAAATATAATATATATGTATAGATATATTTATTTATGATATATATATATAGGACCTTGTGATGATTGATCATTTTTTGACTTTCTGTGAATTGAAGAAGATTAAGGCCCGGGTGGATTATCTAGAAAAGATAATTTACTCCGAAATTCGGATTCCTAATTACTTTGGCAATTAATCGTATTTTTCAATAATTATTAGCTAGCGTTCTAGCGGTTGTCAACAACTAGGCCGCTAGCTAACAATTATCGGAAAAAACAATTAATTGACGGAGTAATTAGAAGTCCCAATTTTGGAGTAAATTATCTTTTCGAGACAGTCCATCCGGGCCTTAATTAAATTAAATTAAAGATGGTATAGATATTTTACTCCAAAATTGGCACTTCTAATTACTCCGTCAATTAATCGTTTTTTTCAATAATTATTAGCTAGCGTTCTAGCGGTTGTCAACAACTAGACCGCTAGCTAACAATTATCGGAAAAAACGATTAATTGACGGAGTAATTAGAAGTCCCAATTTTGGAGTAAATTATCTTTTCGAGACAGTCCATCCGGGCCTTAATTAAATTAAATTAAAGATGCTATAGAAACCTATATCTGCATATTTTTATAAATTTGTATTTCTTTTTCTTCAAATTGGGGGGAGAGGGTGGAAGTGGGGAGGGGGGGGGGGTCAATATAATTGACCCCTAAGAAACTCGTTCCTCAATAATTATTACCACTCATACGACTAGCTCGTAAAAAAACCTATAAAATAAAAGATGAGAAGTCCATTCTAAGCATCTGATGCGTTTTACCTCGTCTCTATATCTATATAAAAAATATTTTAAAAACTACGAAAATATAAAAATAAAGAGGGCCCATTTAACCTTTCATCTGGGAAATTAATTTTTTTTCTATTCTTCTCCATTAATTTATTTTCTTCCATTCCTATAGAACTTGTTTTTGATTAGATGAATTCATTAAATAAAAATGGAGAAATACTTTTCTTCATGTCGCCGATATAAAATTGGGACTTACCGCTTATATCCAGATAACGGAGTTTAGGACATCCGTCGGTGATTCTCGCGAGAAATTCATTGGTGATGTGACAATCGGTGTGATAAATTGGAAACCCCTCGTCATGATAGTCTTTGGACTGTGGTGTCAAGGTAAAAACCTCCAAATTTCTCATATTTGAGATCAATTCAATGGAGTCTCTCAATGGAATCCAGTCATGTGGTAGATATCTCGCGTAAAACGATGATAGACCTATTGAAGATCCCTGAACTTTCAAAGTCATTAATTTCTCCAAAGAGGAAACTGTCCTGAAGAATTGGGCATCCATCCTACTCGTTGAATCCAGTTCAATGACACGTAAGTTCGGAAGTCTCTTAATTGCCTGTATAAAAGAGGATTTTATAATAAATTATTACCATTATTACTACCATTTGGGAATGTTCTTTTAAATTTCACGGGTTTATCAAGTTTTCTAACAAATTCTTGATGAGATTCACCCAAAAAAAATACAGTTTTTGCATTTTCTCATTATTACACGCTCATTACATGTTAGGAGTCATTAAATAATGATAAAATGGGAAAATGGCGTACTTTTTCGGTTCAATTGGATTAACAATTCGTCAGAAAAATTCAAAAGCCGGTAATTTGAGTGAAAAAACAGAACAGAAAATGCAGAACATTCTTAAGGCCCGGATGGACTGTCTGGAAAAGATAATTTACTCCAAAATTGGGACTTCTAATTACTCCGTCAATTAATCGTTTTTTCCGATAATTGTTAGCTAGCGGCCTAGTTGTTGACAACCGCTAGAACGCTAGCTAACAATTATTTTAAAAAACGATTAATTACCAAAGTAATTAGGAATCCGAATTTCGGTGTAAATTATCTTTTCTAGATAATCCACCCGAGCCTTAAGGTAATCTCGGTACATCATTAGTCAAGTTAGAGTACTGCTGACTTTGACTAGCGCAGTGGTTTGGCTTGACAACATTGCTCAACAGCTTGCATAATGCGTTTCCATGTGGTCCATGTGTGTACATATGTACCGAGAGTACATCATTATATTAAGGGCCGGATGGAGTATCTCGGAAAGATAATTTACTCCAAAATTAGGATTCCTAATTACTCCGTCAATTAATTATTTTTTCCGATAATTGTTAGCTAGCGTTCTAGTCGTTGACAACCGCTAGAACGCCAACTAACAATTGTCGAAAAAAAAACGATTAATTGCCAGAGTAATTAGGAATCCCAATTTTGGAGTAAATTATCTTTGCCAGATAATCCAACCCGTCCTTAAGTGACTTTTAACTGCCTTTGCTTTCAGGCTGGCGATTATTGATGCATGAAAATTTAATTAATCTTCGAATTGGCGAGATAAATTACCAGAAGGAATAGTGGTGTGTAGATGTCCACGTGGAAGAACCGTAATTCCTCGATAGTCTCGGGTAAACTACCAAAACCATTGGTCATGCAACCCTGATGAGGAACTGCATGAATTTCAAGACATCTCAATTGCGTAAACATGGATAATATTCTCGGAAGAGGTTCGTCATTGGTAAAAAGTTTTATGACAAGCGTATGACAAGCACCGAGGGACTGGTTGGCATTCAGAAGTGTCCACTTACACCCCGCAATCTCAACGTACTCCAGGTTTGGGCAGTACTTTCCAGCATTTTCAATGATAATTTTGCTTATATGGCGATTATCAGTGGAGATTCTCCGTAAATTCCAGCCGCAAACCCGAAGAATTTTTACGACAAAACGAGGATCCAGACGATTCACCTGCTTCTTTCTCAATCCGCAATCTCTCAGAGCCTTTCGTGTCAGGTCAAGAAATCCGAGGGATTTCAGGGAGTTGTGAGAGACTTTCTGCCATCGTTTGGATACTGTTGATGAAAATTGAATTATCAATGTGTGGAATGTTTAAGATGCCATTGGAGAATTTTTTTGAGACAGAAAATACCGTATTCCAGGTTGGCCTTTTCCACGATGCTCGGTAGAAAAGAAAAAATGTGCTCCAAGCAATCATCATTCAACAGGTCCAATGATATCTCTGGATGATCTTCGAGTCCGGGCATCTGGAAAATTGAAAGTTCCCATCATCTTTATGTTGAATGTATTTTATTACAAAAACTGACGTATTGGGCAACTCCAATACATCACACTTGTCAGAAACACATAATGTAATGTTATTTGAAGGCAATCTATTGCTCCAGACGAACAGACAAATCCAGAATATTAGGACAGGCAGATGAAACTCTCACAAACTATCTATATCTCACAAGTCTCAATCATTGGTTGAATCATTTCGGTGGCTAATTCAAATTCAGAACTTATTAAATTTTCAGTTTCGGTCATGATTTCTATAATTATTAGAATCATTAAATTAATAAATTCGGTTAAGTATTAAATAAATAATGAATACGTACTCTGAATGTTGGGGATGAACAGACTATTCCAATCCTGATGGCTTTATTGATGGCACTCTTGCAGATGGTACCGGTCACTCTTTGTGCGGATGAAAATGATGCAGATCTCGACACCTCGTCATCCGGAGAGATACAGAGGACAACTGCGTTCACTAGTCTGTCTCCACCATCCTCTTCTCGAAACCCATGAAGATTTTTTTCTCTCGGTTAGGGGAAGAGTACCTGAACCTTTTGCAATGAGTGAGGGGAGAGGTACCTAAACTAATAGAAGAGAGAGCTGTCCTCGGGCACTGAGTTTTGGGTACTCAAAGGGATGCTTTCCAGGTAGTTGACCAGAATAATCACTCGCCTCTGTGGAATGTTCACGTTTCTCGAGATCTTAATCCTTCATGTTTTTTTTTCACTCATTTTTCACTGCTACTGTGTTGAGGCGTTCTTGACAATAAAATTTAACACTTCCTGAGAGGATTCCGCCGGTCTTCACCCTGAAAAAAGGTTATTTTTTTAAAAAAGGTGCGTCTTTACTCCTGTGAAGAAAGCCATACTCAAAACTTATCAAGAAAACTATATCTTGGTGTGAGGAAATAATTTAGGACTAGTACAAGAGATTTTGGACTTTTTCAAATGTCGAGCAATAAATTTTTGATAAAATATCTTCTCGAATCAGATCAATGCCTTTTTACATCAAAATCTTTTGCAGTCGAGAAAGGAAAAGTTGTGGGGAAATTTATTCAGCTAGATTTGATTTGAGAAATCACATTTTTATTATGAATTAATTGTTTATTTTATTTATGTATATTTTGGGAATTTCTAATGAGCTTTTAAATACTTTCAAAATTTCCCCAAAATCCGAAAAAAGAAAGCGTTATGCACACACACAGTTTGATCATTTCAAAAAATCATTATTTACCTGTAAAAAAAGTTTATATCTTCTACATTTATATCATCCCTGTTTTACATATTTTTTTATGTTACTCTACCTTTTAAATTTGCACAGAAAATCATCAAATGAATTAATAATTAATAATAACAACTAATAATTTTTTTAGGAAGACGATTGGAACTTCAGGACTAGTACGTCCTTTTTAAATCCCCATTTTTTGAGCGGCAAAATTCATTTTTCAAAACTATTTGAGTGCTTTCAATGAACAATCTATGTTTGTTTTTTTTTCGGCTTTTGGGTCTGAAAACTCAGGCCCCAAGGACTCATTTGGGTTTTACGACTAGTTTACGAGGGTAAATCCCGATCATAAATTTGTCAATTTGGGAAAAACGGGAGACATGTCCATCTACCAGTTTTAGGGATGAGGAATTACTCAAAAATATATATGAGGGGTGCCATGCCATCAGGTCATGTCTTCAGATTCTGCTCACATATTTTATTTATGTGGTTTATCTACCTCCTACGAACAAACAAATAATTTTCTATATCTAAATTTATAAAAACTACATATACTATTATAATCCACGCCAATTCAATATATTTTTATAATACATAAAATTTATATAAAATTATATATTTCTCGATATAAATTACCGCTATTATATTGAATTATATTATCATATATCATATAATTTATTATGCCTTAACAAATGTGTTCTTTATTTTTAAATAATCGCCGGAATAAAGTTAGTTATTTCATGACTCAATCATTTCCGATAAAGGGCATTACTCATTGCAAATGCACAGCCTCTTTTCCGAGAACTCCGCCACTAGCGTAATACCCAGATAATAAGTTCAAAAGGCACTTCATTTATTTCAATGTCAGATGTCATGAAAATCGGTTTGAAAATTTTATCGCGAGACTTGTAAAATCTCAAATGGATAAGACACGCGGAATTCTCGTATATAATGTGAGTTCGAGATGCACAGAGTTCAGTCATTGCTCAGTACTTAGGTGTCGAGTACATTTCTCAATGCACTCGTAAATTCTCATTTGAAATAATTGCAATGAAGCTAGTGGTGGGTTTTGCTATTGCGCTCTTAGCGCTGTGCGGTATCTGTAAGTGTCTAATTATCTTTTTAGATTAACTATTAATTATAACATTAACTATTAGCATTTAATTCTGATTTATTAAAAAAATTATCCATTTTTCATAACGCAATAACAATTGACATCATTGGCCCTCAAATTAATTGTTTAATTAATATTCATGATAAGGAATTCCGGTTTATATATGTTTAAACAAAATGCAGGGCTGCACTAACGAACGAAAAATATACAGGGACGTTTTTCTTTTAGTTGTTCAAGATTTTTTAATTGTTGAGAATGTCAACTTTATATAGGCTTCCATGGGCTATTTAATATATAACTTTATTTTTTGGTAGATAATGAACGTTTTGAGAAGTTAAAAAAATGCAAATCTATCCAGAATTACATTAAACTATAATAAACAATCTGAACACTCCCAGTCATGATCAATTCAAAGTGATTTAATTTGTAACTAAAATGTATGTAGTTTTAAAAAAATGAATAAGTTTAAACAGATAAGGGATTTGGAAGGGAGTAATTATTGACAAAAATATGATTTTTGTTTTCAATTAACAATTTCATACATCAACTATTAAATATCAATAATTTTTTTTGACACTATTTTCAAATTTTCAGATTCAGTGGAAGCTAAAGGTCATGGAGGACGAGGCGGTCATGGGAGAGGGGGAGGTCATGGTCATGGAGGTCATGGGAGCAGTGGAGGAGGTCATAGTGTGAGTTCTGGAGGAAGTCATAGTAGCAGTAGTGGAAGCAGTAGTAGTAGCGGAAGCTATGGTGGAAGCCATAGTAGTGGGGGTTATGGTGGAAGCCATAGTAGTGGGGGCTCTGATGGAAGCCATAGTAGTGGGGGTTATGGTGGAAGCCATAGTAGTGGGGGTTATGATGGAAGCCATAGTAGTGGGGGATATGGTGGAAGCCATAGTAGTGGGGGATATGGTGGAAGTCATAGTAGTGGGGGATATGGCGGAAGCCATAGTAGTGGGGGATATGGCGGAAGCCATAGTAGTGGGGGATATGGGGGAAGTCATAGTAGTGGGGGTTATGATGGAAGCTATAGTAGTGGGGGATATGGCGGAAAGGATAGTAGTGGGGGATATGGGGGAAGCCATAGTAGTAGCGGATATGGCGGAAGGGATACTAGTGGGGGATATGGGGGAATCCATAGTAGTGGGGGATATGGGGGGATCCATACCAGTGACCCGTACGGTGGAAGTCTCAGTAGTGACCCATACGGTGGAAGCTATAGTAGTGGAAGCTATGGTGGAAAGCATAGTGACGGCTATGATGGTGATAGCTACAGCAGTGGAATTTACAGTGGCATTTACGGTGGAAGAAATACCGATGATAACGGCGGTTATCGCTATCCTGGATCAGGAATGGATTCAAAAGATAATCCATTCCGCAATCCTTTTGATGACTTTTCAATGCCCGGATTCGGAAGTCGAAGGCGACCAGGTCAGATACGAATCCATCATTTCTATAATATTCAAGACTTGTTTTATAGTTGAGAGATGTAATAATGATCGTCATTATGAAGACCCGAGGTTCAGGCCTTTACAAGAATCATAATCATTGCATGACTTTGAGCTTTTTGATCAACGGCATAAGCCATTAACAAAATATTATGTAAATCATTCGTTTGCAGACCATAGGACTGAGGATGACGGACTGAGTGAATTACTTCCGGACCTGAAGATACCCAACTTTGATGATATGCAATATAAACCAGGGGTAGGCTTCCGCATTCCTGGACTAGATGATTCGGGCTTTGACTGGCATCGAGGTACTGCCTATTTTGAATTCTCTCATTATTATAGGATCATTCCCCTAAAATTCCATTGATTTTCAGGTTCGATCTTCGGTTCCAACTCCAAACCAACTCATGCAGGTACTGTTCAATCTTCCCTCCATTTTTAATTCCGATAACTCAAGAGTATGAAATAGGATCGCTAAGATATGAATCGTGTCTTCGTTTGCAGAGAAGCCAACTGACCACAAGATTAATCCAGACCCGAAACCATCGAGTACTTCAACCAGTGGTGATGACATGGATTTGAATACCGATTCTCATCCTTCCATCGACGCCGGAAGTAGTAATCGTCATAGATACAAGCACCGGCAGAAGCACAGAGACGGGCACGGCAGTAATTCCACAACAACTACTCCAAGACCAGATAATTCAACAACAACTACTCCAAGACCGTCATCTCTATCACCTTCCAGGTTGGGACAACCCTCCAACTTCGATCCTTCTGCTCGTCTTGAAACTCCGATGACTCCACCACATCATTCTGTCCCTTCAGAAACATCTCACGTACCGCAGCTTCCGACGCTTGCCCCTACACAATCTAGACAGTCAAACGGATATTATCCTTTAGGTCAACCCTCAGGACTGATTCATCACCCCGGAATATCAAATTATGGACAACCATTGACTTCTGGAACTCCCGCTGGACTTCAGCCGATTGTCCCCGGTCAACTAATCATTCTACCAAGTAGAACCAATCCTTCATCAGATCTTGGACAAATCGCAGCAGAAGCTTTCGTGCATTCCGCAATCAATGCAGGAGTCAATCGTTTGATCAATCCCTCACATCAGCACACTGTCAGCTCCAACCAGAATCTACAATCAGGACAGAGTTCTACGGTTACTAATACCACGACCATTATTTATAACAATTACACAACTAATGGACAACCACAGAAAACCATCAGTGGACAGGGAACGAATCCTGATGGAGTCGATATTGGAAATCGCTATTTAGAGAGCAATCTCACTGAAGATAATGTTCCTGCTCCGCCGACAGTCCAGTACTACATTTCTGATGACCAGTTGATGAATCTTACTGAGAGTCTCTTTGCTAAGGAGGAAACAGACTTGTATCAGCATGTCATTCTGAACTTACAGAGTAAAGTTGAAGGGGGGAATGTTACTGACGAGGCATCAAGAGTGTGAGTATCATTGTACAATTTCAAAAGTACACGGAGAAAAGAGTCATGGTACAGAAAACGGTAAATGTATGGTTTAGCTCCACCAAAAACAATAATCATTAAAATATTAATTTCTCTGGCGAAAAAATCCATTCTTATCCTCTCAGTTCCCGTTGATAAAACGAAAGAAGAGAGTGAGAGACAACAAGGAGGTAAATACATCGAAAAATAATCCTCAGGTAAACTCTAGTGTCCCTGAATTTCCTTAAATCCTCCTTCCCCCTGCTGATGTGCGCATAGTAGCATTTGGGACATCCACAATGGTGAAGCGTCCTATAATAATTCATCATGATTACTCCAGCAAATAGTTATCTCTACTATAGTTGCATTGTATTAGTTATTAGTTACTACGGAGCGATGTAATTTTTACTTTTACATGTTCAAAATTAGTCGAATGTCAAGCAGAAAAATCATTTACTATATTCTTATAGTTAAATCTACTATACAATTTCATAGTAATCTGTACCATTGACTTATCTCCGTATCGAAAGGAATTTTCCAAGAAACTTCTGTTCTCGGATGTCGATACCAATCCGTAATTGTGGTTTGCAATTTCTTTCAGGCTTCTGTACACCAATTCAGAGCTGTATGACATTCCTACAATCCAAGTTTACAAGAATATGTTCGACAATTACGAGTTGAACTCAACAATGAAGGAGAATACCACGTCCGAAATGCGGAAAGAACAGCACTTGCTCCTGGACACTTTCTTCAATACAGACATCATGACAACAGCTATGAACTGGCTCGCCAGTAAATATTACATCGAATCAGACGACTTCGAGATGAAAGATACACTCCGGCACATTTGGTTCAGTAAAATCAACGGGTCTACCTCGGGATTCGAGCGGATATTCCTCGCAGAAATTTATCCTGGCTCTGGTGTACTAGGAGCACAAAATTGGATCTACTTCATGTCCAAAGAAATATCCAATGATATTGATTACATGGGATACACGCAGGAGCATCGTATAACAGATGTAAGATTTTATTTCAATATCAATGGATTTTCATTTCTTTAATTGCTTCAAAACTTTCAGAAAGCACGGCTGTTGAAATTAAACCTCAAAATCGGGGGTTCGGTGAAGCAAAATTCTACAATGCTGGTGGGAACATCCCCTGAACTCGAAATGGCACTTTACACCATCTGTTTTTATACCAGACCGAATGATATTTGTCCAATATCACTTGGAGGGCACAAGTTCTATCTTTACACTCACACTTTTAGATACTTTGGAAATGACCTTATTGACATGGGTATCATTGCGTTCTAGGAAATTATTTCAACTTGTGATAATTAATTTTTAAACATTTTTAAACAACAAATTGCATTACACTGGAGATAATCATCTAATTTTATTAACAATTTGATTCTTGTTAGAAACACGTCAATATTTTTTCGGTAGTAATTTTACTAGTAATTCAATTTGAGTTCAATTACAATAGATTAATTAAAATTGATTTGTTTGAATAAATAATTATATTTGTCTAATAATTCTTTAATTAAATGAATTCGTTTCACTCGTTGTTTATAAATGTTTAGCACTTGTTCTTTGGGATTTTTTGAGGTCATGGATATCCTACTATATGTACTTGATTCTACTGTTTACATTTGATATCATAAATCAATGTTACACCTTCTCCTAAATTACGTCTCACATACCTCTAACATTTATATTTATTATCAATTATTTATATCGAGTGTTTTTCATTATATTATCCTCTGCATTTTTCTGTGAGTTAATTTTTGTTTGCAAACAAACGACTTGAGGAAGAGGAGTCCATTAATATTACCAAGACCCCTAATCAACCAAGGCATTAAGAATCAATTGAGCATTTACGCTCGTAATGTCTCGTCTCCAATCTATCTGGAAGAAAGATAATGAGTTCAAAGGGTTGCAACACTCGCGCGTATGCGCAGTTGTCCATACATTGAAAAAGTGACTAAAAAATGTCTTGGGAATTGCGTTGATTACTGAGAATGCTAACGATTAAACGAGTCGCCTAAACCACTGATATAATCTAGATCTGTGAGGGAACGAAGACGTCAGTCGTGCGGCGACGACCGACCGTCAAACACGTGAATCATCAGCTGCGGGAACAACTATGAAGGTCGCGGTGCTAGTTGCGGTGCTGATCATAGCACTCTGCAGTATCCGTAAGTACAACACATTTTTTTTGCCTGGATTATTCTGAAACAGTAGATGATAATGATCTGTATTTTCAGATGTGAGTGATGCAAAATATAGAGGTGGGGGAAGCCGTGGAGGTAGTCGCGGTGGAAGTTCTGGAAGCAGCAGAGGAGGAAGTCGGGGTGGAAGTTCTGGAAGCAGCAGAGGAGGAAGTCGGGGAGGTGGATCTGGAAGTTCCAGACCAAGTCCACCAATTTATCATCCACCTGTTCATATACCTTCGCCACCAGTCTACAAACCACCGACTCACTCCGCACCTCCAGTTCATAAACCACCAGTTCCAGATTACAAACCATTCCCACCTGTTCCACCACCAATTCATCATCCTCAAACGAATATACCTTCACCCCATGGGAGTGGATCAAAGCCCAGTGCACCTCTACCAGGAACCATCAACTCAAAAGACAGCAGCAGTATATTCATAAACAACGAACGACCAGGTCAGATAAGGAAAATTTTTTAACAACTGCTATTCTAGAAATTCTCTGTGTCGATTTCATTATCACTAATAGTGATGATGATGCAATGACGTAGATTTCCAGCAATTTGTTTTGCGGGTTGTTTATCAGCCAGTCGGTGAAACTTTCCTCATAAGAAAACCGGTGTAGCAGATAAACTCGTCGGAATTCCCATGTGACAGCTGAAATTCATTCGTAGCTTCTTTTAAATGCTCACAATAGTATGACAGAACATTGTTTGTACATTTGGCTTTTATATCTAACCAGAAATGAATTCGGAACCATGAGTTAATTGATAGGTCCATGTGAGTGTCCAGACCTCTCAGATCGTAGTTTCTATAATTCTAATTAGTTCCTGGGAAGAATTTCCAGTTATTTCCATTATTTTTCCTGAAAACTAAGGCAAATTCAATCATTTTTCATTTGTCCGTCCACAATTTGGATGGATTCACTCTAATTATGTTGAACCTGAATGCATGAAATGAATTGATCCCTTCAGGACATAAAATTAGTCATTCTTTGGGCTGAGGTAGATGTACGGAGTCTTTCCCTATCCTTTATTTCTGAAGATATATGATTCTTATAATTCGCATAAATGAAATTGAATTCAACGCGCGACGAATATCATGACATGATCTGGTGTTGCCCTTCAAGTTATTCTCTGCCTAATTGACTTTGATTCAATTTTATTCTTGATTCCGCTTGGTTGTGATATTAGTTAGTGAATTAATTCAATCTCGCAAATCAATTCGTTGAAAGACACATGCACTCACTACTAATTACTGTAATTATCAATGAAATTCATACGCATCCCTTATTTTCGATACAGACCAAGTCGCCCAAGCATTGGCATAAAAATATTTGATTGCTCAGAGGACGCTCCGTTTTCCAGTTCCACCATCAAGTTCTAGACAATGTAGTTTGACCATTTGATCTTCCAGGAAGTTCATATCCAGACTGGGCTAATCCAGGGACGAAGCCGTCTGCACCAAATGGCAGGCCGACAGGAAGTCACCCGCCATTTCCCAACACGAATTCATATCCACCCGTCCCCAATCCCGGGACCAAGCCATTTCCACCAATTGGCAGTCCAACAGGAAGTCATCCGCCATTTCCCAACACGAATTCTTACCCATCCGTCCCGAATTCGAAGCCTTACCCAGACTGGGCGAATCCAGGAATGAAGCCGGGGCAACCGATTGGCACACCTGGTGCCGGAAATCCCTCATATCCTAATACGAATCCTCACCGTCCTTATCCGCCTGTAGTTACTCACGGTGGAAACACACATGCACGGAATTCATCATTCCCAAGTGTATCAGCGCCTCATCCACCGAAGCCAAGTCTTCCATACCCATCATCCAACCCCCACAACATGCCACAGCCCAACGCACCACACATCGGATTCAACCCAGGAGTTACTTCAGGGGTAGGCACACCTCACATAAACCCACCGCATAATTCCGCACCTTTGGGGGCACCTCCACACCTGCAGCCTCACTCACCACCATATCCAGGGCATTACGGAGGTTATCCAGGTGGATATCACGTAGGTCAACCCGGAATGGTCCACAATCCTTATCCGATGCAGCCTCCACCAGGAATGCCAAACTACGGGGCTTCGCATATTTACGGAGGTTCTGCAATGTCCCAGCCTTATGTGCCAAGCCAGACTATCATTTTTCCGAGTCAAAGCAGCGCTAGTCCAGGAATTGGTCAGCTGGTGAAAGAGGCATTAGTTTACTCCACTATCAATGCCGGTGTCAATAGATTGATCAATGGAGCACCGTATCACCATCATTATGTGGGCTCTAGTCCTCAAACTCATCCGACGGGAGTTTCCACTGTCACTAATAATACAACCATCATTTATAATAATTACGGTGATCAAGGACAAGTACCTCCAGGAACATCTCCTGGTGTACCGGGTGCTTATGTACCAAACAATCCTGGGAGTTATCCGTCAGGAAGCCCTGGAGGAAGTTTTGGCTCTGGTAATTCTGGAAGTTATACTCCAAATGGTGGGACTTACGGGACAAATCACGTAGGAAGTATTCCACCTCAATCACCAGTGCCTGGAGCCGTATCACCTCCGGTTACAGGTGGAAATCCTCTCTATCCCGGTGTTGTTGGAAATCCAGTGATTCCAGCAGCTGCTGGTAACACTAGCGTTCTTAATTCTCATAATACTACAACTGGTAATAATCAGAATGCAGCGGCTGCTCCTGAGGCACCACCAGTCCCTCAATATTACATCTCTGATGATGAATTAATGAAACTCACTGAGACTCTCTTCTCCAAGGAGGAAGTGAACTTGAAGAAATATGTGAGTCTGTATGTCCAGCGGAAAACTAGTGCGGTGAATGTCACGGATGAAGCACCAGGCCCGTAAGTTCGAAAATAAAACTAATTAAGGCCCGGATGAACTATCTGGAAAAGATAATTTACTCCAAAATTGGGACTTCTAATTACTCCGTCAATTAATCGTTTTTTCCGATAATTGTTAGCTAGCGGCCTAGTTGTTGACAACCGCGAGAACACTAGCTAACAATTATTGAAAAAAACGATTAATTACCAAAGTAATTAGGAATCCGAATTTCGGAGTAAATTATCTTTTCTAGATAATCCACCCGAGCCTTAAAACATCGCTTGAACGTCTGTAATGAAACCAAAACAAAATTAGTTTATTATATTTTTATTGTGTTCCAGGTTGATGTATACGTTACCAGAATTAAACGACATACCAACAGTTCGGATGGTAAAGAACATGTTCGATAAGTACCAAATGAATTCAACATTAAAAGAGAACTGTACATCTGAGATTCGAAAAGAAGAAAGCTTGCTACTGGATACTTTCCTCAATACTGACGTAATGACGACTGCGATGACTTGGCTGGCGAGTAAGTACTACATCGAACCCGATGATTTCGAGAGAAAAGAAACACTTCGTCAGATTTGGTTCAATAAAATCGACGGTGCGACGTCTGGATTCGAGCGGATCTTCTTGGCGGAATTGTATCCGGGCCCGAGTTTCATTGGTGCCCAAAACTGGATATACTTTGCAGCCAAAGAAACATCAAATCAGATCAATTATATGGGATACACCGAGGAACGGACTATAGGCGATGTAAGATATGATTTCTCGTTCTAGGAAGAACTGCATTGAAAAGCAGAGGCCATGATTATTGAATTTATGCTCTAACTGATTTGTTTTGTGATTATAGAAGGCATCGCTGTTGAAAATTAATTTTAAAATGGGAGATGCTGTGAAGCCCAATGTTACTATGCTGGTAGGAACCTCTCCGGAACTTGAAATGGCCTTGTATACTGTCTGCTTTTATGCCAGGCCAAATGACATCTGCCCAGTGTCCCTGGGAGGGACTCATTTTTATCTTTACACTCATAGCTTCCGGTATTTCGGAAAGGATCTAATTGATGTCGGTATCGTCGCTTTCTAGATAATTTTATAATCTGTGATTGTCAAGTACTGGAATTGTCTAGAATTTTTCATAATATTATTTTATTTGTTCATAAAATATTCATAATTCGTGGTTCTCCCTTTATAAACTGCTTTACAGAGAATAATAATTGGCCAATTGTTGATTAACAATTTAGGAATTTAGATTAAAAAATTAAAAAACTTTAAACCTCGTTACCGTCGTATTCCAATGCAGATAGTTGTAATTTATATTTCGTATTGTATATTATTAATTAATTGGATTTACTATTGCGGGCAGAAATAATGATATGATGATCAAGGACAAAGATCTCCAGGAGTTTTATCTTCAAGTTCTCGGGATGCACTTCAAATGCGAGAGTTCAGTGAAAGCATGATGAATGTATTCTAGCATGAATATATTATCATAATCAATAATAAAGTGACGTGTTTATAAATTGTCGAGAGATATAGAATGAAAAATCAGGAATTTACGGATGGAACCGATTTGAAATATAATTTCGCCACCTTTAGCTTGTCGATTGAGGGACTGTAGGGTCTGGGACACATTGTCCTCTTAAACAAATATTTCTTCCTCCACACGATGTACCATCAGCAGCGGCAAGCTTCGTTCCCTCACATTTCCACCCGTTGGCTGGATTGAAGCACCTCATTTGCTCGCAGATTGAATCGTCGACGTGACAGGCGCTGCTGCTCACTAGTTTGTAGCACTGCTGGTGAACATCAAAGAATTTTCCGGGGAGATAAACAGGTAAAACGTCTTCTGGCCTCGGATTATGGTTGAGACAAGTTGGATTCATGCTATAAAATCAAATTCATAATTATCTGGACTTTAACGATTCCCAGGTACAACATTAGTTTCAATCTTACTCAAGGAAATCTTGAATAGCACTCAAATTGCAAGATGACCCCTGGTAATTGTTGTCATCTACATATGGATTCGTTAGACGACTATGTCTGAGGTAGCAATCGATCGGATCAGCATCCGCATCAGCACCGAGTCTACAATGAAATAAAATTATTGCGCGAAGGTAATCGTTTCGAAAGTGTCTTTTGCATGAAAGATTTCTCATTGATAGCTTTTGGTTTTTGTACGTACAAGCGAGCAAGCGTATGGGCAGCCTTCGTAATCCCACCTAACCCAGCTCTTTCCCGAAGTATAGCCGTATTCAACAGTTGATTTTCCTCGTCTGATCTTGCACAAGCTCTATTCGACACTCCAATTTCCGCTATCACGAACCAATAAGAATTAAATTTATGAGAACATTTCCAAATCATTTATAAAAGAACGTAAAGAATTAGTACCTCCAAGACCATAACTGCAAAGTCGATCTTCCGTGGATTTACACAGCCTGTGGCTAAAATGAAGAGTAATGAAGTCTTGCTATTGATTGATTGCATTTGATACTTCAAATTCAATGGCTAATAGCCAGAAAAATCATAAAATTATCGTACCTTGTCATGGTTATAATTACGTCGTAATCATCGAAAGCGATATCGTCCTTTCGCGCATACCAATACTTTCCACAATCCTCTAGCGTTCCCCGAAGATTTGGAATTCTTTTTTTAATTGTATTGTCCTTGATGTATGTTAAAGCCGTGGCATCCTGAATCAATAGCACAATGATAATTAATTATGTTCAAATGAAAAGAGGAATGTGATTCGATTCTAGTTATTCTAGTTATTCTCTCCAACAAAAATCTCTCAGACAAAATTCCCCGGGCAAAATCTAGCCACTGATCTACCGACGTCGGTCATATTATACCACTTAATTTGAATTTTCCCGGGGGATTTTTGTTGGAGGATTTTGTATGGAATATTTTCTCTCAGGGGAATAACTCCGGACCGCATGGGGCTCACCTTTGTCAGGACGATACCCGCGATATTCAATCTAAACTTTGGATTCTTGAAGAATCGGTACTTCAAATCTACACCATTCCAGAAAGCCAGGAGATAAGCGAGTGAAGACACATCATCTTGGTTGAATCTTTTATAAAAATCATGAGCTACGACTACTAAAATTCGAGGGTACACCGTGGCACCCCTTAAAGGACATTGATGAAAGTAAGTACGTGCATGCGATTGACACTGGTTACATAATGGTTCTTCATTAATTAGTGACAAATTGCCGCATTGATTAATGCAGTTCCTATGCGCAATTGTACACTGTTTGATATGGGCTCTGTCCGGTAGTTCCGCTACCGATGAATTTACGACATTTACCTCCTTCGTTACTGAAAAAAATTAGAAATAATAATTACACAAAATATGAGTTCCAAAAACGTAAATTACGACTTTAAAAACGTCAATTATTACATTAGGATTACATGTTACCGAAAATAGTATATTTCACGCCTAGGACGGAAAAAGGGAATCTGACAAATGCGCGTTATAATCCTCATCTCCGACTCGGACTATAAAGTCGCATTCGTCCTAGGCGTGAAATATACTATTTTTATATCCATCGTAGTATTTGGTATGTCAATCCGGAATTTTAGCAGAATGAGAACTCGTAAATGATGAGAAAGAAACTGTAATTTACGGAATAAAGAAAAATCGTAAATTACGTTGGAAATCTTGTATTTTACGGTTAGAGTTTAGTGTATGTTCAATTATCAGCACAAAACGTTGAGTTTGACTGTAGTGAAGATACGTAACATACCTGAGATTATGGATGTCATATTCACTTCAGGGGTTGCCGTCTTGTGAACAATATGGTAATCATTGTCTGCAAAAAACTCACGATTTTCTATGAATCTACGATGCCTGTTGGCTTCCTTAATGAGCCGTTGGGGAATTGGTTCGATGACTAAATTTTCCGATGCTATGTGTCCAATCTGAATGATGAATAAGAATCGTTCAAGGAGTTATTGATTTTATCTTCTCATTTCTCAAGTTTTTTTGACAAATTTATGGAAACGGTTGATAAAATTGACGTGAAGAAACATAGGGTTGTTAGCTTTAATTATAATTTAATGTCTCATGAAGTTTCATCACCGTGGAAGACGTTTGCATATCATATTGAAGTCTCAAGATGAGACGATAATTCCTAAAGTAGAAAAAAAACCTTTCGGTCCGAGTATGGGGCTCAGTAATCAGAATATGTTGCTGTTAGATCATGTCGTTGTTGTTAAGATAATATTACTATTATTTTGATGCTCAATTCAGCTTACCACTATCGGAGTTTCATTTCTCTGACTAATTATGATAACTGCAGACTTTGCCAAGTCTTCATATCTCTGAACCTCGTCCATTACCTATAAGAAGGATTTCACGATGGAATATGTCCGTATAACATCAAATAAAGTGGTAACTACAAAAAAAATACGTACCCATATGTCTTTTGTTAATAAAGGACCCGCGAGTCCGGACTTTAGTGTGTAAATTGGGGTATCCGAACTAAAAAGAACTCTGTCCGCTGGTGTCAACCATAATTCAATATTTTTTCCGAAAGCCCGCAAGTGCATTCTCCTACCATAATCAGCGGATCGTTTTTCGACCCTTGGCCAATGAATCTGAACGATTTCATAATCTGGCACTGCAATAAATTCTATCTATTAAGAAAATACGTTTTTGGACAATTACTTATTGCAATTTTACCATCGTTGCCGATTGTTCCGAACACCTGCTGTCTTTCATCGCTGGTCATTCGTTCATGTATCTAGAATTTTCAAAAATTCGTGAGCATTCGTAATGGCTTTATGATTATTGATTCACTTACCTTTTGCAATTGGTGTGTACTTGTCACCGAGAAAGCAACTAGTTGCCAAAATAAAAACGCTAATTCTAAAATTAAAACAATAATTAATAACAATATTATTTCCTTTTTACACTTAAACATGAGAGAAAGAATTTAGAATTATAGTGTCAAAAAATGAATATCCCTCACTTAGCATTTCAAGGTGATCCGTGCTTTAGAAAATTTTCAAGAAACTCATTGAACAATAGTCTCCTGTCGTCTTTATGTACTCTCTGCCACTGTCAGTTTATTGGAATGTTTGTTTTATCTGGGAAGACCACATTATGTGCAAACTATCGGTAACATTTCTCAAATATTACTTCATCCAATCTAAACATTTTTATCAGAGGCGTCTGTAAACAGCTGCATAGGTATCTCGAACTCGCTTTTTTCATTTCAGAAAAAGAACAAAACTTGCTAAGATTGCCTTAACAGATTAATCATTTCGGTTGAAGGATACTGAACATATAATCACAGATATTGCCTCTGATATTGGCTGACATTCGACATAAAAAATACAGAGTCTTATCGGATCCAACCCATGGCGTTTATTCAGGTGTTAATTAGCTCATAGGCCAGCTAAAAATGGCACATACACTTTATCTTATTATATATTAGTTTTTCGAAGCAAACCAGTGCTAGTCCAAGAATTGAAAAACCGACGAAAGAGCTGTCGATCTACTCTATCATAAATCACCGCCATCATTGTGTGAGCTCCAGTCCTCAACCCCGACCAACAGGAGCTTCCACTGTCAGCAATAATACAATGATCTTTTATAACAATTATGATGATCAAGGACAAATATCTCCACGAGCACTATCTTCCAGTTCTCAGGATGCACAGCAAATACCAGAGTTGCATGCAAGCATGACGAATTTATTCAAGCATGAACATATTATCATAATCAATAATACGTGACGTGTGACGTGTTTATAAATTGTCGAGAGATATAGAATGAAAAATGAGGAATTTACGGATACAAGTGGTTTGAAATATAATCTCGTCGCATTTAGTTTGTCAATTGAGAGAATATTGGTTCTTCGACACATTGTCCACTCAAACAAATGTTTCCTTTTCCGCAGGATGTACCCTCAGCAGCGGCAACCTGCATTGACTCACATTTCCATCCGTTGGCTGGATTCACGCACCTCAAATCCTTGCAGATTGTATGGTCCACATGACAGGCCCTGCATTTCACTAGTTGATGGCACTGCCGGTGAACATCGAAGAATCTTCCGGGGAGATAAACAGGTAACACTTCTTGCTGGGTCACATTATTGTTGAGACAAGTCGGATTATTGCTATTAAATAAAATTCATAATTATCTAAACTTTAATGGTTCTCACGGACAACTTTAGTTGCAATCTTACTCAAGGAAATCTTGAATAGCCCTCAAATTACAATCGGACCACTGTCCATATTTGTCATTCGCGTGAGCATTCGTTAAACGACTAGCTCTGAGGAAGCACTCGATTTGATCACCACCGTGGCCAGCACCGAATCTGTAATTAAATGAAATTATCGTACCAATGAAACTGCTCCGAAACAAGATTTTTGCATAAAGGATTACGGGTTTTTGCGCGTACAAGTGACCAAGCACATGGGCAGCCTTCGAAATCCCAACAAAATCCGCGTTTTCCTGAATTATTGCCATATTGAACAGCTGCTTATCATCATCTGATCTTGCGCAAGCTCCTTTCAACATTCCAAGTCCTGCCAATACGAACCGATAAGAGTTAAATTTACGAGAAAATTCTCAAATCAGTTCTAAATCAACGGAAGCTATTTCATTTTCGTACCCCCAACTTGATGATTGCATTCTCGACCTTTCATAAATTTACACAGCTTGTAGCTAAAATAAAAAATAATCAACTGTTGAAGTGCATTTGATGCTTCAAGATCCATGGTTAGTCGCCGAGAAAGTCATAAAATTATCTTACGATGTCATCGTCATAATTACGTCATAATTATCGAAGGAGATGCTGTCCTTTTGGGCATACCAAAACTTTCCACAATCCTCTGCTGCTTTCCGGATATTTCGAATTTCTCCGCCGATTGAATTGTTCGCAATGCATTCTAAGGCCATGGGATCCTAAATCAACAGAACGACGATGAAATATATTCAACAAATATGTTTAACACTGAATTATGTGCAAGTGAGAAAGGGGGAATGGAACTAATTTCTAGGGGTAATTTCCCCAGACATAATTCCCTGGACAAAATCGCCTCAAAAATCTCCCAACAAAGATCAAAAACTAATTAAAAAATTAAACATGGATATCCATTCCGTTGCGAATTTGAACGTTATGCATTTTACCATCAAAACAACCTTTCAAATACATATATTTTTTTTTATATTCCAGACTTCTCTGCTCTGTTTTCGCTAATCAGCCCTCACCCTATCTCACCCGGGAAATCTCACCCTATGGATGCAGCTGTGAATCCTACACTTTACTTTAATTCACTCTCCTATAGAACATAGGAATGACACGGGAAACCACAGGAAAAACCATGTCGGTACAGGTGGTTGCTCTATTACCAACCTCCCTCTCACCAGTGCCTGTTGAAAAATTCCATTCAACGGGGAGTCGAACTCACAACTTTCAGAATACTAGGCTCACACCTAGCCACTGAGCTATCAACGTCGGTCTTCAGATATATTGCGTCCAGATAATTATACCACTTAATTTGAATTTATCCCGGGGGATTTTTGTTGGAGGATTTTGTCCGGGATGTTTTTTGTCCAGATATAATAAAACTCACCTCTGTCAAGACGATACCCGCGATATTCAGTCTAAACTTTGGATTTTCGAAGGATCGGTACTTCAAATCAACGCCATTCCAGAAAGCCAGGAGATAAGCGAGTGAATACAGACTATCTTGATTGAACTTTTTATAAAAATCATAAGCTACCACTACTAAGATTCGAGGGTACACCGTGGAACCTCTTATAGGACATCGATGAAAGTAAGTACGTGCATGCGATTGGCACCGGTCACATACTGGATCCAATGATTCTTCATTAGTTGGTGACAAAATTCCGCACTGATTGATGCACTCAGTATGCGCGCTTTTGCACGCTGTGAGATCGAGTTCGTATGGCAATTCCGCTACCGATGGGTGCCCTCGATTTACATTGCCCGGTACTAAAAACATTTATTTTCAGACCTAGCCGTGGAATACAGATCATACCTCCCCACATGCATGATTAAAGATGGCATGCATATGGGGAATGGTGATATGTTTTCCACGGTGTGGCTTTAACGGAAATTTTTCCAGACGCAGGCTCCGGGAAACGCGCTTTTCTGAAAAAGGTCTTTTTCAGAAGTACATACAGTACAGAAGTATGTACAGTAAGTACATACTGAAGACACTAACCGTACGATACGAGATTTTAAATGTGATTTATGAGTTTCTGATCTTCAAAGTTATGAGATGAGTCTCGTAAATTATGAATTTTACATCGCAAAATACTTACGCTCTCTTTCTCATCATTGACGAGATCTCAATCTGATAAAATCCACGATGTGCCGAAAAGTAACATGTGTGAAAGTGACTTTCCCGCACATTGTAAATTTGAATTTTTATAATTCCTTTGAAGAATTCTTTTAATGTCATTTAGACTCATCGTTAGATAACCCTGAATATTCCTCAACTTAAAGATTTGATGTTGCCCAAAAACTTGTTTTCTGTCCATCGTTGCATTTATGATATCAATCTGCGATTCTACCATATTGAGATCTCGTAAATGACGGGGAAGAAAACGGAAATTACCAGGTCAGATATTATGCGGTTAGAGTTTTCTGTGTGTACAATCATCAAGACAAGACGTTCAGTATGACTGCAACGAAGATACATCACATACTTGATAAAGATAAGGTCGTATCCGACTCAGTGGTTGTTCTATGGTAAGCAATATACTGACGATGATCAATGTCTTTAGAATCCTGAAGATTATTATATGGGTTGACTTCCGCCATGAGACGTTGGGGAATTGAGGCAATAACCACATTTTCCGATCCTATGTGTCCAATCTAAATAATACAGAATAAGAATAATTGAAGCAGTTATTGACGTTAACTTATCATTTTTCAAGTTTTTTGACAAATTTATGGAAACGGTTGATAAAATTGACGTGAAGAAACATAGGGTTGTTAGGTTTAATTATAATTTAATGTCTCATGAAGTTTCATCACCGTGGAAGACGTTTGCATATCATATTGAAGTCTCAAGATGAGACGATAATTCCTAAAGTAGAAAAAAAACCTTTCGGTCCGAGTATGGGGCTTAGTAATCAGAATATGTTGCTGTTAGATCATGTCGTTGTTGTTAAGATAATATTACTATTATTTTGATGCTCAATTCAACTTACCACTATCGGAGTTTCATTTTTCTGACTAATTATGATAACTGCAGACTTTACCAAGTTTTCATATCTCTGAACCTCGTCCATTAGCTATAAGAAGGATTTCACGATGGAATATGTCCGTATAACATCAAATAAAGTGGTAACTACAAAAAAAATACGTACCCATCTGTCTTTTGTTAATAAAGGACCCGCGAGTCCGGACTTCAGTGTGTAAATTGGGGTATCCGAACTAAAAAGAACTCTGTCCGCTGGTGTCAACCATAATTCAATATTTTTTCCGAAAGCCTGCAAGTGCATTCTCCTGCCATAATCAGCGGATCGTTTTTCGACCCTCGGCCAATGAATCTGGACGATTTCATAATCTGGCACTGCAATAAATTCTATCTATTAAGAAAATACGTTTTTGAACAATTTCTTATTGCAATTTTACCATCGTTGCCGATTGTTCCGAAGACCTGCTGTCTTTCATCGCTGGTCATTCGTTCATGTATCTAGAATTTTCAAAAGTTCGTGAGCATTCGTAATGGCTTTATGATTATTGATTCATTTACCTTTTGCGATTGGTGTGCACTTGTCACCAAGAAAGCCGCGAGTTGCCAAAATAAAAATGCAAAGCCTACAATGTTACAATATTACTTCATTTTTATACTCAATCATGAAAAAAAGAATCTCAAATTACAGTATGAACAAAATCACTCACTTGGCATTTTCAGGTGATCCGTACTTTGAAAAATTTCCAAGAAACCTATCGATAAATAGTCTCCAATCGTCGTTATGTACTCTCTGTCTTTATCAATTTATTCGCAGGTTTTTATTATCAGAAAAAATAACATTATGTACAAACTGTCGACAATATTTTCCAAATATTGCCTCACCCAATGTAATTTTTTTGGTAAAATCGCCTGTGAGCAAATCCACGTGGGTGGCAAAACGCGTTTTTTTTCTAATTTAAACAAAAGAAGTTGATAAGATAAATGTTCAGTACCCCTCCCCCTCCACACCCCCTATAAATCAACCCCGATGTCGACTTAAGTCGATGGTTTCTCACCCTCTGATTCTAAATCTTCAAATCATTTTTTGGGGAAACAAATAGTTTCTTCCATACTTCCATATTTAAAATTTATATACCGCTCTTTGCATTACCCTGGGCGACGACGGGGATCTAGTGGTTACCAGTTCCATCGACGACACATGTTGGTATATTTAAAGATCAGAGACAACACAAAGAGGCATTAATATTGTTTAATCAAGCAGAAGCGGTACCACCAACGAAACAATCAATCACCTTTTGCCGCAACCTAGACAGTTGATATCGGTGTAAACACGTCGCTGTCCTTGCCGCAGCAATTCTGTAATTAAATTAACAATTTTTAATATTTGTTTATAACTATATCAGCCGTTTACCTCATAGTCATTTAGTATCACCAAGGACACTGTCTTTATCGAATCCTTCATGTAAACATGATGATTAGTACAATTTAAATTGTACTATAATTATATTACAGTGTAAACTTCAAGTTGTAATTAAAACTTCAACGTAAAATGGTAATTAAGACCAATGAAAATTTACAGGCGTCAGTACGTTTTCTAATCAAAACAAAATTATTAAAAAAAAAACAAATTTGAAACAGATTCGACAAAGAAACAGTAGCCGGTAACTCAACATCATCTGCGGAGGCAGCTGGGTCCAAAAATCCTGTTCCAAAACAACAATTCTGAAATGATCAGGTTCTCTAGGTCTTGTCTTGTGGGAGGCCTATCACCCTGGACGAACTGGTGACCAGGAACACTTGGAGACGAACTCTCGAGCAAGTAACACTGCACATTAACAATCTATCTTACATTATATCGAGTCTTTAACTGAAGTTTATTTGTTAACAATAAATAAAAGATCGAGTCATTCAATTAAATTGTTGGCAGTATATCCTTCATCTACACACATGCTGCATACTTACCACTTTTATCTAGAGTAGTTCTGACTTTTACAAAGATTCAACATTTTTTTACTTATCTGTAAATAGTTAGTTTATTAAAACTATAATTAATTAATCAAAAGCGGAAATTATCATTTCGACACACGGAAATTAACACTACCCTATACTATGAAACACATGAAATATTCGTATTATAATTATAGATCTTGAAATAGTAATTTTATAATTATAAATCTTGACATAATCATATTATAATTACAATCATTTAAATCATCACTTGCGTTGTTTCTTCAGGGATTCGAAGCTCAGTTTCTCCTATAAAAAAAAACAAAGATAATAATTTAGTAACCAAAATCATTCGTTTATTACTACATTATTGCTATCCTACACAGAAAAAAAAAGTACTGGATAAATAAATGTTTTTATAAAATATTTCGTCCTTAATGTGCGATTAATAAAAACTTCTTTTCATAATGGAAACCCAAAAAGGATTGACTCAGACAATAATTTTAGTTTAAAAGGTAAAAATGTTTTAATGAATCATCAAATTTCTATCTATAATTCACGGATGCCTCAGACCAGCTCAATAAATTAATGTTGAAGTAGTTTTCAATGTAAAAATGCGTTAGACCGGAAAAAATAACGTCATTGAAATGAAGAGCATACATGGATTCTCAAGGTCTTGTATTCAAACAACTTGATGTTTAAAGGTGTGATCAAGCCCGACAAACTGGATTTTACAATGGTCTCGGGGACCTTCTGGCACGGTCAATGAAAAGAGAAAGCCTACCAGTGACTCACTTTATAAGACGTCATCACATCTCCAATCTTTACCTCGTATACACCAACTGAGCGTCAGTTTAATTTCCACTGCTAAAGGAGAAACTACAACTCTGTGTGGATTTAAAAATCAAAAATATTTACTGTTACATCTTCAGTATGGGGACGAAGCGATTACTTTTTGTAATTGCTATTTCTCTGTTAGTGATTGGCTGTGAGTTGAAAAATATTATGTGAACATTTATCACGATATCAATTTACAAGTTTCATTTTTCAGTCTTAACATTGCGTACTTTATATCAAGTATCAAATTGTTGAATTTTTATTCTACATCCATTTTACTGCAAAAAATTGTGGAATTAGACTGTATATTTTTTGCTTGCAGTGAAGAAATCGGAATTTTGTGATCAACTCTTTTACAATTTATCGTGTCAAGTGTAAAATTTATGATGAAACCCTGAGGATTTTTATAGAACAATAATTTTGTTTATTAATTATCAATTCCTCGGTTTTAAAATTAATCACGAGATAGATTTTCGCAAATAATTTTATTCCTCTTTATGACTTCTCAATTATGGGGCATAAGTTATTGTTGTTCACGTAAGGCAATATTTCCCTGGAATTTTCTCGAGTGTTCATGAAAAAAAAAATTGGGTTGTACACGTCAGCAATAGAACGCAGTACTCCGATTTCAGATCACAAACAATTCAGGATCAAGTGTTAAATTGGGCTCCATGTCTCATAGACAAATTATCCAATTCACTGCATCAGAGTCAATTCCTCGAATCATGATGACTGAATTAATCTGTTAATGAAAATTTAGAACGTTTTCCGAGTAAATCTGTTTCTCTATTTTCTAGAAACTGTCCGTTTATTTTCGACATAACTTTCTCCAACTTTCTTCAATTCACAATGGACTCTGAATTATTTTTTAAATAAAAGATTGAAGATCGAACTCCTTTCGAAATACTCGCGATATCTTCAACGGATTAATCACAACAGAAATTATAAAATAAAATTAATACTTTATAATGCATTTTAAAAATTAGAATAATACAAAAAATGGTAAATTGGGAATAAACTTTTTTGCAAACAGCAAAAAAGCCAAAAATATTTGATAACCTAGAGATATTTTCGATATTTCTCCAGTGCCGATATAAAATTATGGAATTAATTAATCCCAGAGACAAACTAATTACAAAATAATTCAATATTTAATATTTCCGAAGCCCAAATCTGCATTTCTCTCATATATTGAATGATAATAAATGAAATGATAAATAAATAAAAATAATAAAAATGATAATATTTATTTATTACATCTAACAACTAATTGAACTATAAAAAGCCATTTTAAGGCCCGGATAGACTGTCTGGAAAAGATAATTTACTCCAAAATTGGGACTTCTAATTACTCCGTCAATTAATTGTTTTTTCCGATAATTGTTAGCTAGAGTCCTAGTAGTTGACAACCGCTAGAACGCTAGCTAACAATTATTGAAAAAAACGATTAATTGCCAAAGTAATTAGGAATCCGAATTTCGGAGTAAATTATCTTTTCTAGATAATCCACCCGAGCCTTAATTTAAATATTAAAAATTTCATTCACTCAAATAAAAATTATAAAACGTGTATCTATTGAAAGAAGACGTAGATCTTTGAATGATTTCCATTCCAAGTAATTGATTTAATTGTTGAGAACAACGCAATTAATGCAAAATATTATTTATGATTTATCGCACACGATTTCATTCTTAGGATTCATTAATATATTCCACTGGACTTCAATTAAAAATCTGTACGTCACTCGACAAATTACAGTATTGAACAAAAACCATTCGTAATTTCTTCCCTTGCATTAATCTCAAGTGGTTATTAATTATTTCTGAAAATATATCAGTGAAAATAGGAATTTGAGAATGCCTGATTGGTCGATGGAGATGTTATCCCTAATATTATTAATAATTAGATTTTGTTAAGTAATTCCTTCAAAAGCCCGACCTCATGTTTAATCTCCATCTTTCAGGCATCGACGCGCGAAAATCAAGTGGCAGTCGTCGAAGAGGAAGTAGCAACAGTCGTGGTTCCTCATATTCAAGAACAACATCGAGACCTCAACACTCTCAAGGTAAACAACAATTAAAAAAACAAAAAATACCCAAGTTGGCAATTAATTACCATTCCATGTACCCATAATTCACGAGTACATGCTCAATTCCTGGGTGTGTGGGCTTCCTGGATCTTGGAATCTAATACAGAGGATTGAATCACAATTGAATGATGAGACGTTGACTAATCACTGTAGTGGCTACTGTAGTTTTCCATTCATTTCCTCTCATTTCCATGTTTTAAAGCTCAAAGGGGCCAGGACTATAGAAACTGGGCGGCAAAACTCACTGGAGCTGGACAAGATAAAAATCATAAAGTGGGAAATCATCGTCCAGGTATTTCATTAGAGTACCATCCCATTCAGAGCATTTGTCATACGTTGGCTTCATTTATGCAATGAGTTGGTGTGTTAAGTAATCTAGTAATTAATAACAGCTAGTGGGGTTTTCTACGCCTCTGTGGATTCAACAATTCGAGAAATTACATAACCCAATTCTCTTGCTCAATGCTGTCATGTTTTATTTTCGATGATTCATTTCGCTTATCATTCGAAATTCATGTACGATTATTCATCACACGTTCATTAGAATTCCATTCTTGTTGGCTTTAAATTGACGTAATTGAAGCGAATCATTATTTGACATGAAGCGAGTCAATCGTTAAGCCTCACTTCATTCAAAATTCATACTTTATTTAACTAGTTGGTTGGATGAAAATTTATTTTTGGATTAGTTTGAGGTACATACGCAGTTACTGATAATTGAACAAATCATTTAATTATTTATGAATCCCCAACAGATTCCAACTCAGGAACAATTGGCTGGAACGTTCCACCGAAGCAGACCCCAACAACGAACGTGAAGGCATCAGCACCAGTATCAGACACAGTCTCCAAAACAAGTGCAACAAATGTTCAGAACTCGAACTGGAAGCCCTCAGGAGGATATGGTGCAAATGGTCAACCCAACAATCCTTCGATGAACACAGGACACCAAGGAGCACCTCCTCCATACAATCCATCCGTCGGCAGTCACAATCCGCCTCCATACAGTCAAACCTACCACCCACAATCTCACAATCAACCGTATGGAGGACCACCAGCATACGGAGCACCACCAGCTTATGGATCTCCATCATATGGATCACCTCCAGCCTATGGTGGTAACTATCACGCACCAGGAGGCTATCACGCACCCGGTGGTTATCAATCCCCAGGAGGATATCACGCACCACCAGCCTACAATCCTTACCAGAGCCATTCTACATCCCCTGGAATTGGTTACAATCCTCCAGTGGGTCATGCACCTCAAACGATTCTGGTGCAGGGTGCATCATCCAGACCAGGAATAGGACAATTAGCCAAGGAGGCTCTGGTATTCGGTGCTGTAACTGCTGGAGTCAATGCAGCTGTCAATAGAATCATTCCTGGAGGAATCTACGGGAACTCTGGTCATTATGGAAGCAGCGGTGGTGGTGGTGGTGGAGCTGTTGGAGTACCAGCGTCTACCCATACCCAGATTACCTATAACAATTATTATAATAATGGTAGTGCACCTCAGCCAGCTGAAGGAGCTGCTGCTCCTGCTGCTGCTCCTGCTGCTGCTCCTGCTGCTGCTCCTCCTGCTGTTGCTCCAGCTCCTGGTGCTCCTGCAGCTGCTGGCAATCCACCCAATCCCCCTGGTGCTAATCCAATCCCGGAACAACCTAGTCAGGGTTCTAATACTAATGCCAGTCCTGATAAAACAACCAGTGGAGAAGCTGGAAAACCTGCTAATCCTCCTAGCGAGGAAGCACAATTCCCTAGTCCTCTGGGGTATGTCATTACCAAAGCCGAGATTGAGAAACTCACTGAAGATTTGTTGAGCAAGGATAAGAATAATGCATTCAAACATATCACCGTCAATCTACAGGGACAGAAGACCGATGACAGTGTCACTGATGATGCACCCGAATCGTTAGTATTTTTTAATCTTCATTATTCTTATTATTTAATCCATTAAAAAATATCACCTCAGGAAATTACAACAAAAAATATTACAAATATTACAAGATTATTGTTTCAAAATATTAGCTCAAAATATCTCAACCAAAGACACATTATTTCGAAACATTACAAGAACAAAAACAATACATTCTCATATTCGGTATATAATTGTCAATTATAATATCTCTCAAGTCCCTCAATATTCCAATAATTTTGTAATATTTCAAATCACGAAATAATGTTATTACCGTTTCAAAGATACTCTACAACTCCACAGAATGAATGACTAATTCAAGCCATAGAAATGCTCAGTACTTAGTGTATTACGCAAAATATATCGATTTATAACGAACACAAGAGTAATCCCCAGCTCGCTCAAGCAAATCACAACAATCGACTAGACTTAGGGATGGTTTCCCAAATAATTGACCCACAATATTTTTCCAGTATAATAGTTCTACTCAGTAAAATAATTTTGAAGAAACCAAATTATTAATGCATTTGCCTCAAGCAGAGGCATTCGATTGTGCAACCACTGGATACAAATATTAATAATTATAATTAATACTACTATAATATTAATAATTACAGTATTCCGTAGGATTTCACATTCGACTTGAATCGGTTTTTACTTCTGAAATATTCACGAATTTGTTTATCTAATTGATTAATTATCATTATATATATCATATCATCATAATCTTGCAGATTATTAGCTGTTAAAGAAGAAGCCTACGAAATTCCAACGATAAAAGCAGTAGTGGCTCTCCACGATAACTACGAGCTTGATATTAAAGTCAAGGAGAACGTGACACCTGAAAAACGAAAGGAGCAGAACGAGTTGTTGGATCAATTCATGCAGACAGAGATAATGCAGGCAACGTTGAAATTCCTGGCTGAGAAAGGATACGTCACTAACGATGAGTACGACTTCAAAGATACCTTGAGACGGATTTGGTTCACTCAGTTCAAGAGGATTGACGCTGACCCCGGAAGCTCTGGATTCGAAACTGTATTCCTGGCTGAGCAATTTGATAAGGAGATTATTGGAATGCATAATTGGGTGTATTACGCCAGACAGGAAGCTGCGAAGAAACTGAATTACTTGGGGTATATCAAGCAGCAGTCCCTTGGAGATGTAAGAGAATGTCGATTATTAAAAATTATAATGTACAGTCTTAAAAGTTTCTTGAAATTTCAGCCAGTTATCTGGAGTTTTAATTGAGTTTGAATTCAATTTCAATTAAAAACTCTAACTAAACTTCTGATATATCTTGAAAATCATTGAATGGGTTTAAAATTCTAATTGGTTATACGTCAATAATATTGTTTATACAATATTTATTACGTTGTTAAACAATTTAAAAAATTATCTTTGAAACTATAAATCTGATGGTGAATCTGATAATAATTCAATGATTTTTCAGATAGTCTTTTTGTGATCCGAGAAGACATTCAACAAATTTGAATAAAAATGTCCATCCTACATTTTCTTAATTATTTACTTTTATTTGTTGCAGAAGGGGGCCATTGTTAAACTTCGATCATCCCTCAACGAAATTGTTCAGCCTGTCACGACGATTTTCGTTGGCACATCACCAGAGCTGGAGATGTCCTTATACACAATGTGTTTTTACACACGACCAAATTATCCTTGTCCTATTAAACTTGGTGGCACTGAATTTGTTATCATCGCTAACCGAGTGAATTATTTGGGTACCGATATCCTGGTCTCAGCATATCCAGAGATCTAAAACTACTTCATACTATTTAATAAATTCAATGCAGTTAAAATCTAATTGAAACTTGAGATTTTAAACGATATCACAGTTAATGGAAGAACAATCTGGTAATGGAGAACCTTTGGTTATTATAAAATGATTTTTTGAGTATTCTACATCACGAAAAGAAGTAATTTTGCTACGAATGCCTGAGATTCAAATGTGATAATTTTCTAACGATCCAGCGAGATTTTGTAATGAACAAATAATAGATAAGTAGAAATAAATTCGCGTCAATTAAAGTTCAATGAAATGTTTATTGAATTTTGTTTTTATCACTTACTCTGAAGACCTGGTGATACCTTTGCCTGTAGGCACTTATTTCCAAGAGTGGAATAACTGCCGGGCGTCCATGGGCACATCTATTTGGTAAATCTGTCTCAATCCAATGAGACACCACTGCATCGCATTGATTTCTGTTCAGTGCATCACCAAATCTGATGGCACCTGGAATGATTTGGAAGAAAAAATCATCAGATGTAAAAAAAATGCAAGAACTGGGACTAGTAAATTTGTCATAGGAAGAACCAAAGAGGATTGACTGAAGTAGAGACTCAGTTCTGGAGGTTTGAGTGACCCCAGCGGCATCGTAGTACTGCACCCCAAGATAGGGAGGGCGGAACACGCAATGCTGGGGTGTCCATCAAGTCGACGGGGTGAATTTTATTCTCTGCGGTGTGAATGCTTTTTGTTTTTTATTGGTTAACTGAAATTTAGACGACGGTAGAACGAGCGGAAAGGGGAAGCCACATCTTGTGGAATTTCAAATGAAAACAATTATTCAATATGTTGAAGATATACTACTAATGAAATTATATTTTTATAATAAAACACGTTGTCTAATTGGTAACGTGCTTGCCTACCACGCGGACGGCCAGGGTTCGATCCTGCCATCATTCATTTTTTTTTTAAATAATTCCCATTTTTTCTTTAGGTAGGTAATCACTGCAATTGAAAAATTCGAAATTTTTGAAAAAGTATCAGGGTAACATGACAATCGAGGAGCTATTCACGGAAATTTTCGCTGAAAGTGAAAAATTGGAAATTTTTGAAAAAGTATCAGGGGAACATGAACGTCGGGGAGGTATTCAATTTTTAAACGATATTTCGAATGATTAGCCATTTATTTAAAAAAAAATAGGAATTATTTTGAAAAAAAAAATGAATGATGCTGGGTATCGAACCCAAGCGGTCCGCGTGCCAGCCAAGCGCGGTGCCGACGAGACAAGCGATACCTTGTCGCTAACTACGGCAATCGCTGGAAACCAGGGCAACATCAGACAGTGGGGCTTTGGAGGGCGCCGAAAAATTTTTTCATTCTTTTTTTTTTAATTCGAAAAGTGCATGGAGATATTCCAGATGCCACTAAGGTGGAATGGGAGATTTATAGCTGAACAGTGCGGCGAGGAAAGGTGCTCCCCTAGACTCGTCACCGCCGCCTGGAAAACGATTCGCCATCATTTGAACCCTACTGGAGCCCGAAATATGCGCTTTTATGTTTTCCAGCGTTCCAAACAGAAAAATGCAAATATCTCGGTTCCTATGGGTCG